AAATACTAATTTCTAAAAAGTAGGAAAGCTGAGGTTTTTATTTTAATTTTATATGGATATTTTGGCTCTCAGAAACCAGCATGGTTGTACTGCAATATGTCAGTTCTTAGTAGATGAAGCCCAGGATGGTTGTTTGAAGGCCAGAAACGCTGCTTTTTGGTGCTTAGTTCTCACCTTAGAGTGTTTCTGGATATCAGTATTTAGAAGAGGTACAGCAGGAGAAGGGAGACAAGGAGGTAAGGAACTAAAGTTGGAGGACCTCTCTCTGATAAGTTTGGTTGTTGGTCTTTGGCAATAAGTGTCTTCCTCAGCTCCCCTGTATGTAACAAGATGCTAATGATACCTACTTCAAAGATGCTTTGTAAGGGTTAATTAGTGCTTATGAAGGCCTTTGAAGATGAGAAAACAGGAGCTGAAATAGGGAAAGTTTTCATGCCCCAGGTGAGTGTTCTGTGAACTGTCTTGAGTTCTGCTTTTTCAGAATCTCTCAAGCACCTCCAAATGATGGTTTAAAAAGCTAATTTGAGAGGCTTGCTTGAGCTGGGCCATGGTGGTGAACACGTTTTGCAACCATCGAGTCATGTAGCCGTGCATGCAGAGTTAGCTGCCTGGACGTTCACTCCCCTGAGGAAAGAAGGAAAGATGCTATCCCACGGCCTTGATGACACATGCAGTTCAGAGGAATATATGTAGCAGGTTCATCCTAAAAAAGGTGCCATTACAGCATATTCTGTTTGCTCTCCCCCAGGGCAAGCTTCTCTCCTTTCCTGTGTTTGACCAAACAGTCCCCTGCCGGTGTCGCATGCTGGAATCTCTAGGACCTGTAGCACTGCACTCCTGATTCCCCAGGGAGCCTCAAACACATGGGAAGAGCAGTGCCCTCCACCTCCTGTGGAACGTAAATACTTGGGATATTTTAAAGGGAGATCATTTTACCTTGTAAAACACGCCTGTTCTGTGTGTGATGTGCATCCTCTGCCTTGCCTTCCTCCACGTCCCCAGCACGCAGTAGGACATTTTATAAGCGTGGCGCTGGACTGAGCTGCTCTAATGTGTTCTCGGTAAGTTGTGGAATAGCTTGGACTGGCCTTCTCACAAAGGGGCGATTTGGGGGAGCCGCTGGAGTACTTTCCGAGTTGCATGGATTCAGGATGCAGCACGGCTGGGTTGGCAGCCTGTGTAAGGGCAGTGTTGGCTCCGACGCACATCCCTGCGCTGCGCTGCCAAGCACGCTGGCTTCAGGGCCAGGGTTCTGCCTGGGAATATGAGCTGTGGTGTGCACGGCAGTGGGCGACAGCTTGGGTTATATTTAGTTTCTTTGTTTCTTAAAGGTTTGCCAGCACTCAATTTGAAGCGGGAGCAGGTTGCTCCAGGCAGCGAGGAACAAGATGCTCCAGGAGGCCCTTTTCTTCGGGAGCTGCCAATCCGCAACCCTAACGCGGGCCAGGCAGGACGTGCGTCACAAAAACCCTCCCCGTCAGCAGATGACTAAATAAAATTACAGCTTGGGAGGCAGCTTGGTGTTCTCACTTGCAGGCGCGTGGGATGGAGCAGCGGGAAGCGCTGCCGCTTCCCCGGAG